GGGTTTAGAGAGATAATTCAGAGTTTTAGGCAACTTGTCTTTGCATGTGGCACATCCCAGTTCAATTCCCAGCACCACATAATCAGGAATAAGAGCCGGAGTGCTGCCAAAGTGTGGTGTAGTCCGAACATCTGCCCCACTCTACCCCAATAAAGGTGTGAGCCTAGGCCATAAAAAACGTTGTTAAATCTTTCCAAATGAGCTCTTTCATTTTAATGAACAAGCAAGAGCCACGTGTAGCACTTTGTTCATGTTACTTCATCTTTTCTGTGTTTTACACCAATGGGATTTTAAAATCATTACTCAAATGGGATTTTAAAATCACTTACAAATATTAGCAATTGTTATGTTTTTGGAGTTTGATAGTTAAATGTATACTTAAACTTATTTATAGGCTCCAAATTCAGCTTTATATTTTTTAAAATAAAATTTTTGATTTTTAGTTCTTATTGTGTTTGTTTGGGGGCCACACCTAGTGGTGCTCACTCGAGGCTCTGAGCTCAGAGATCACTCCAGAGGGTCCTGGGGGGATCATATGGGGTGTCAAGAATCAAACCTGGGGTGGTTATGTGCAAAGCAAAGGGCCCTGTTCACTCTACTATTTCTGGGCCCTAAGTTTGAGTTTAAATGATATTTCAGAAAGATATAGAGCTATTGCGCATTTATATGATGAAATTTTATATGGTGTTTGAGAAGACATGTTTTCATAAATGTTTATGTATATTTATTTTCCTGTATACATTGTATCACCAGCATCACATAAATAAAAAATAAAAGTTTTTAAATGGCATTGTTATTTAGCAGCAAGTTAACCATTCATTCATTCATTCATTCATTCATCATCCTGTTATTCGTCGATTGCCTCGAGCAATTGTAGTAACGTCTCTTTCATCCTAGCCCTGAGATTATATTCAAGGCTCTTTAGGAGAATGAGACCCATCATTGTTACTGGTATTTGGCATATTTGGTACACCACGGGGAGTTTGCCAGACTCTGCCCTGTGGGCAGGCTACATTCGATAGCCTGCAAGTTTGTCCAAAGTAGGAATGAGATAATAAGATGTCATAAAAAGATGTCCTGATAAGATGTCATTCTCGGCCTCGCAGTTCCGGGAGCTGGATTTTATAGTCTCTGAGTCTTGGCCATGGGATTACACGGCGCCAGGGGGCCAGGTGGTGGGTGTGACCCCCGCCTACTGGAATTTGGAGGATCTGGGTGGAGGATGCTCAACTCCAATCCGAGTAGGCTTGGAGATCTCGGCCCCGGAACCCGCGTGGCTTTGTCCCTCTGCCAGTACCTTCATGTGTGCGGAGAGTGGTCTCAGCATGGTGGTGGCTGGCCCTGGAGGTCTTCGGCTGCCGGAGCCCTGGTCGGGGCGGGGAGGAAAGCTCAACCCGCTCCCCTTCAAGGGACCCCGGCGAGGAACAGCCAGGCGCAGGGCCAAGACTCAGAAACTATAAAATCCAGCTCCCGGACGAGACCAGTGCAGTCTCAACCATAAATCTAATGATTATATATCGTACAATTTAAAGATCACTCATCCAAAGCGTATATACTAGTAAAAAAAATTTTAAGAAATTTTAAGAAAATTTTAAGAAAATTTTAAGAAAAATTTTTCTTGCTTTTTGAGTCACACCCAGCAATGCTCAGGAGTTACTCCTGGCTCTGCACTCAGGAATCACTCCTGGCGGTGCTCAGGGGACCATATGGGTGCTGGGAATCGAACCCGGATTGGCCATGTGCAAGGCAAATGCCCTACCCGCTGTGCTATTGATCCAGTCCCTCAATATATTCTTGTATACCCAATATATTTTGATTCTGATAAGTACTCAGATCACAAATCTTTTTCTTTAGGATATGTTTTGCTTTTTATTTGAGGCCCTAATGCCCTTTTCTTTCTCAGTTGCATCCTCTGACTGACTTCTTTTTCAGTTTTAAACTGTCTTTGATATCTAATTTAGTCTCTGACATAGAACTTAGAAGATTTATGTGAACAGCTTGTTTTTCCCCTTTTATCTTATCCTGATCTTCAGAATCTGAAGATCTGCTAGAAGAATCATAATTTGATGAAGAAAAGGATAAATACCTCCCAAATCTTTTCCTTCTTTCTTTCTTTCTTCCTTCCTTCCTTTCTTTCTTTCTTTCTTTCTTTCTTTCTTTCTTTCTTTCTTTCTTTCTTTCTTTCTTTCTGAAGAGGAGGTATGTTCTCACTTCAAAGAACATTTTCCCCCTGTGTTTTTGTGGGTTTTGCTTTCATTTTTCCAAATTTAGTCAGTGGCTGGAGCGATAGCACAGCGGGTAGGGCGTTCGCCTTACACGCGGCCAACATGACTCACCGGAGTTCGATTCCTCCGCCCCTCTCGGAGAGCCCGGCAAGCTACCAAGAGTATTCGATATGCCAGACACAGTAACAACAAAGTCTCCAATGGAGACGTTACTGGGCCCGCTCGAGCAAATCGACGATCAACGGGAGAGCCTTTACCTTACCTTTACCTTGAAGCCTTTATTTTCCATTTTCTCCAACTTTTATTTTTTTTAATTTCTTTTCAGATAGATGTTGGTTGAATCAACTTAATATGGGTATTCCTCAGAAAGTTAGAAATAGAGCTTCCATATGACCCAGCAATACCACTTCTGGGAATATATTTCAGTTGTGAAAAAAAAAACACAGTAGAAATGACATCTGCACTTGTATGTTCATTGCAACACAAGTCACAATAGCCAGAATCTGGAAACATCCCGAGTGCCTGAGAACAGATGACTGGTTAAAGAAACAATGGTGCATCTACACAATGGAGTACTATGCAACTGTTAGAAAAAAAAATGAAGTCAAGAAATTTACTTATAAGTGGATGGACAAAGAGAGTATCATGCTAAGTGAACTGAGTCAGAGAGAGACAGATATAGAATGACTGCATTCATTTATGGTAGATAAAATAAAATATAGTATGAGACTAATACCCAATGACAGTAGAAACAAGGGCCAGAAGGATCACTCCATGGTTTGGAAGCCTGCCTCATGTGCTGGGGGAAAAGGTAGTTGGGATAGAGAAGGTACCATTAAGTCAATGATGGTTGGAATGATTGCTCGGGATGGGAGACGTGCTGAAAGTAGACAAAGGACCAAACATGATGGCCTCTCAATATCTGTATTGCAAACCATGGTGCCCCAAAGTAGAGAGAAGGAAAATGCCTGCCATAGAGGCAGGGGGTTGGGGAGTGAAGGGGTGGCGGGAGGAACATCGGGGACATTGGTGGTGGGAAAGCGACACTAGTAGAGGGATGGGTATTCTATCATAGTATGACTTAAACTCAATCATGAAAACTTGTAACTGTATCTCATGGTGATTCAACTAAAAAAAAAAAAACCTTGAATCATTGTTCCCAATGACTGGGTTGAACCACTTGATCTAGTCATTGGTATTGAGTTCATATAGGCTACTCAATTGTCCTGTTATCCTGTTGTGTGACACTGATGACACTGCTATGAGAAACCAGACCAGAAACATGATTTTATTCTTTAAGACGGTCACGGTCCTCCCATTGTTCATTGATTTGCTCGAGCGGGCCCAGTAACGTCTCCATCATGAGACCTGTTTTTACTGTGTTTGGGCATATCGAATACATCACGGGTAGCTTGCCAGGCTCTGCCATGTGAGTTAGATACTCTCGGTAGCATGCCATGCTCTCCGAGAGGGGTGGAGGAATCGAACTCGGGTCGGCCATATTGGCCGCTTGTAAGGCAAACACCCTACCGCTGTGCTATCGCTCCAGCGATAATTCTTTAAGACATTCTTTATTATTTATTATTTATAATTTAAGATAATTCTTTAAGACATTCTTCATTAATTGGCCCACATCCAAAAGAACAAAAGCAACCAGTGTTCACGTGGATGTGGGGAGAAAGGGACTCTCCTTCACTGCTGCTGGGAATGCTGACTGGTTCAGCCCACTTGGAAAACAGTATGAACGATTCTCAAAAAATTAGAAATTGAGCTCCCATTTGACCCAGCAATACCACTCCTGGGAGTATATCCCAGAGAGGCAAAAAAGTACAGTCAAAATGACATCTGCACTTTTATGTTCATTGCTGGACTGTTCACAATAGCCAAAATCTGGAAAAAACCTGAGTGCCTGAGAACAGACGACTGGTTAAAGAAGCTTTGGTACATCTACACAATAAAATACTATGCAGCTGTTAGGAGAGATGAAGTAGTGAAATTTGCTTATAAGTGGATAGACATGGAGAGTATCATGCTAAGTGAAATGAGTCAGAAAGAGAGGGACAGACATAGAAGACTGCACTCATCTGGGGAATATAAAGTAACAGAAGGGGAGACGAACACCCAAGAATAGTCAAGGTAAGTACCAGGAAGTCTGCTCCACGGCTTGGAAGCCGGCAGCACATGCTGGGGGAAAAGGCAGCTTAGATAGAGAAGGGAACACCAAGTAAAGGGTGTTTGGAGGACTCACCCGGGATGCAAGATGTGTGCTGAAAATAGACTATAGCCTGAACAGGATGGCCACTCAATACCTTTATTGCAAACCACAACACCCTAAAGGAAAGAGAGAGCAAAAGGGAATGCCCTGCCACAGAGGGTGGGGGGGGGGTGGGAGGGGTGAGAGGGCTACTGATTTCATTGGTAGTGAAGAATGGGCACTGGTGGAGGGATGGGTACTTGATCATTGTATTACTGAAACCCAAGCATGAAAGTTTGTAAGTCTACAACTGTACCTCATGGTGTTTCACTGAAAAAAAAAAAAAGAAAGAAAAGACATTCTTCATTTAAAACTTGTTTTGTGCTTGAATGCCGTCAATTTTAAAAAAAGAATTCTCATCAGTTTCATTGTAAATTTTACTTTTTAAATTAGGATTGACATGATTTTAGTCTTTCTTTAAGACATTCATTAAAACTTGTTTTGTGCTTGAATAATACCGTCAGTTTGAAAAAAAAAAGAATTCTCATCAGTTTCATTGTAAATTTTACTTTTTAAATTAGGATGGACGTTTGAAGCCAGGAGATCAACTTGTCTCTATAAATAAAGAATCAATGGTTGGTGTATCATTTGAAGAAGCCAAGAGCATAATTACCAGAGCCAAGTTGAGGTAACTATCCTATCCATAAGATCGAATAAGTCATATTTCTTTATTTTGTTTTTGTTTCTGTTTTTTGTTTTTGGGCCACACCTAACAGTGCTTAGAGCTGACTCTGTGCTCTGCTCATGGATCACTCTTGGTGGACTGATGCGACCCTATGGGATGCCTGGGATCAAACATGGATCAGCCACATGCAAGGCAAATGCCTTATCCACTATGCTATTGGCTTCCTAAAAAGAAAATATGTCTAATGATATTTGAAATATTGTCTTAAAATTCAATTATGTTATATTTATGTTCACAAGGTTTGCATAAAATGACTTCATTTTTATTTCTAGGTCAGAATCTGCTTGGGAGATAGCATTCATAAGACAAGACTCTGGCAGCAGTCATCTAGAGACTCCACCATATACGTCTCTTTTACAAACTGCAGGAGAATATGGATCTCAAAATTTAACATTGAATCTTATTTCTTCTCCCCCTGAAAACCTGATTCCAAAGACCTCATCCACTCCCAAAGCTACTGATGTCATTTTACCTACCCTTAAGATTAATCAGGTAATCTTAAATTTGTGGATTTGTGACGTCTTCCATAATTTCCATGTTTTTTTTTGCTTATATGTATTTTAATTGTATCATATACTATTGTAAAATTGATTTGATTATAATTATGCATTTAATTATAAGATTATCTGACATTGCTTCTTTTTTTTTTTACACGTTGGTATTTCTTGAGAAGATTTTATTCATATTTAAGATTCACTGTCTTAAACTCATACAAAAGAGGATGTTTCTATTTCAAAATCAAACCACTAGTTACTAATTGCTATGTGCCCTAACAAATCATAGTGATAAAATGGAGCATGTGGTCTTTAAATCTGTGTTAGCAATAAAATAGGAAAGTGAAATAGAAAGCTGACTGAAATACCATCACTTTATCTTAGCTAACTTCAGTTTGAGGGACATACTCATTAACTACAGAGTAAGCATTTCCTAGTAGCTCCTTATACTCATTCATTTGAAATTAAAATACCTTTGAAATGACTAGTATTTGATGTTGTATTTTATTGTCATTAGACATAGTACAGCTGATAGCAGTTGCTATCTTTAATTCTGAATTGGCTTGTTTGAAGATAAATATGTCAAAATCATAGATGTTTTATATATTTTTAACTAGCTTTAATCTCATCAACTATTCTTATGTTAATATGAGCGTATATTTGGTCTTTGGCCTACTTTAGAAAATAACATTTCATGTTCCTCTTTTTCTTTCATACATAAAAAAAAAACTGAATACAAGAAAACAGAACAGATTCCAAATACTTCTTTGGACAACAGCCCTACTGATATGTGTAATACAGGTAAATGCACATTGAATTCCTTTCTTGCTATGTTTTTCAATTACTCTCTTAATGTAGGAATACATAATGTGATTTAAAAGACTTTAAAGAAGGGTGCATTATGCCTCTTCTCCTTCATAAATTAAAGAGCATTATGAGTGTACTATGAAATGGTCTCCATTAAGTAATTACTTTTATTGGAAATGTTCCTTAACAAAGAGTTGAAATTTTAAGAGATTCATTATCATAGCAGTATCTATGAAGCTTGAATAGTCAATGAATTGTTGAAAAGAGAGTTTTCATAAGTCAAGATTAGGTTGCCTTGTCCTTTTAGTGAAGTACTGATGAGAGATAGCAAATGCAATTTTAGAAACTTTATAGAAGGGAGTACAATTAAAGAAAAAATGTTGGCGAATTTTTATTATTGAGTTTGCATTATTCTTAATTTTTAAACAATAAAGCACCAATTATGTAAACTATCCATAAAGATGGATTTTTTTTTATCAAGCCTTAATATTTGTTTTGGGGCCATCACTGGTAGGACTCAGGGGGGACTGTATGTAGTGCCAGGGACTGAATCCAGATTGACTACTGCCAGGCATGCACCTTCCCTGCCATACTGTCTCTCCAGCCCTCAAATATCAAATGTTAAGAAAAAAATCTCCCTTTACCTGAAAAAGTTAAAAACAACATTAAAAAACAAACTATACATATAGAAAGGACATGTGTTTAAACCATAATATTTGCCACATATTTAAGTTCCTAAGAGCATTATCTCTAGATCAGGATGCAGAACAAGAAACAGATCATATAAATAGTACCGTGTCTCAGTCCATTCTCGCTACTCTAACAGAATACCACAGATAACATTTCTCACAGCTTTAGAGACTGAAGTCCAGGATCACGGTGTCATCATGGTCATTGTGAGAGCCCTCTTCTAGTAGCAAACACTTCATCGTGTCCTCAAAAGGTTGGGGTCAGGGCACACTGTGTGGAAGGGGGCCTTTTTCACTGCTCCCAGCAATGAAGTCTACACCCACACAACTTAGTCACCACCCAAAGGCCCCACCTCCTACTTCCATCATCTTTTGGATTTAAGATCTTAACATAGGGATTTTGGAAGAAAGTAAACACACAGAATGTAACTACCACTTTTGCTGGAATTTCTAATAGAGTCCATAGTAGTTTTCTCTTATTTAGGGATTATATATCAGGACTGGTCTTTAGCCACTGTTATATACCTTATTTCTTAGTGGGATTTCTTAACTCTTACATATTTTATTATCATTATTCCCCTCCATAAGGCAATGCCATAATTTAAGTTTTATTCTCAATTAATTTTTATTTTAAATTGGAAACCTATGTGAGAAAAAGGATGAAAGAAAGAATCAAACTGTGGTAAAGATATATGCATCTTAATGTTTAAAGTAATTTAACTATGCAATGTCTTATTTAGTCATTTATTCTGTCAGCATTTATTCAAGAAGATTTAGATATAGAAAACCCAGTTCAGTAGGAATTAGGTCTTTATTTTTGTTTCTCAGTGACAGAGATTGAACTCCGGGCCTCATACAAGTTTATACCATCCCACTGTGCCATACTCTCATAATTAAGATATTCCCTATGAGATACTTAACATTGGGAACTTAAACGTGGGTTAAAAAACAACAACACATTTTTAGAATACATATATATACACACACATACATAAATATGCGCCTTCTTTTTTTTAATTAATCAATTTGAGGGGGGCTGTTTTTGATTTGAGTCTATAACTGGTGTTGCTCAGGGCTGACTCATGGCTCTCTGCTCAGGGAGCACACTTGGCGGGACTCAGGAGACTATATGAAGTATCAGGGATTGAACCCAGTTTGGCCATGTGCCAGGCAAGCTCCTTGCTATGCTATGCTCAGGAATCACTCCTGTTAGTGATCCAGGGACAATATTTCATGCCAGCGATCAAACCAGAGCCAGCCACTTGCAAGATAAGCACTCTACCCTCTGTACTGTCTCACAAATCCTTATGTATTTTTTTATGTACAGTGTGCTTATGTTACAAATAATGACTCTGTTCAGTGCTCTTTATTTCATTTTATTTTCGAGGGGTCCATGGGTGGTTTTGGTCCACACCCAGCTGTGCTCTGGTAGCTTGTGCTCAAGGATCACTCCTGGCAGCGCTAGGAGGATCATATGTGATGCCAGCAATCAAACCTAGGTCAGCTGAAAGGCAAGTTCTAACCTGCTGTGTATCTCTCTGCCCCTGCAGTGCTCTTTTAACTAAAACAGAAGTGGTTTAAGTAGCCTAAGGAACACTGTTTTACGTGAATAATGTTAGACAAGATCAAAGTGCTTTATAGCAATTTATTAGTCCTGTTACATTGAATTAATTGCCTTGTGGGATTTTATGAATATTAACAAGATCATGTCAATCAAATTAAATTAGCATTATAATTGGTATCTAGTATATGCTCAATAAAATTTGCTGCTATAATTATTTACAGAACATGCAGAATAAAATAGTATCCCAGAATATATTAGAGCAGAATATTAAAGTTTCCAAATAATGATTCCGTTTTGTATCTTTCTCTTGTCCCATCCCATGTTCTTTAAGCTAGTATATCATAAAGAACTTATTCCACTAAAAATAGCACTGTAGCACTGTCCTCCCTTTGTTCATTGATTTGCTCGAGCGGGCCCAGTAACATTGTGAGACTTGTTACTGTGATTTGCATATAGAATATGTCACAGGTAGCTTGCCAGGCATTGCTGTGCGGGCGGGATACTCTCTGTAGCTTGACAGGCTCTCCAAGAGGGGCAAAGGAATCAAACCTGGGATGGCCACGCGCAAGGCAAACGCCGTACCCGCTGTGGTATGAGTGGAAAACAAAAGAAAAAGCATATAAGAAAGGATGAGCTCAAGTCAAATGAACTTTGGAGGCAGATGCAATTAGAGCAAAGGGACCTACAACAAGTGGAGAAAAGTATACACCTTACCACCGTTTATTATTTTTTTTACTGACTGTAAAAAGCAATGCTAGATTTTATAATAGAAAAGTAATTTAATAAAAAATATGTTTAGGCAAGCTTTATGAAGTAAATATTAAAAAGCAACTAAAATGGAACATTTTTGCCTTGATACCAAGGAAACTTATTATGGTCTTACACTAAGACTTTTGAAATTGAAACAAAGAAGTGATAGAGGAAAATATACCTGGAGGGACCATACTATGAACCAAATGATATTAGTCTTGCCCTTATTAAAACATTTCCACTTACTTTACAAAAAAAAAGAAAAGTGTGTGGGTGGAGGGTAGGAGAGAACTGAAGATCCAAGGCCTAATAAAACATTTTTTTTGAAAAGTCTATTTCCGTGAAAGGAACAAATAAATAGCTTGAGGCTAGCATTGAGAATTGCCATTGGCATGAGGAAGGCTATCTATGAGACTCTTTTTAGGTGAAATTACTCTTGAATTACCAAGTCATGCTGGATTTGTCCTATAAAGGTTTGAGATCAAAAGTGAAGATTTTACAAGAAGGCTGACTAAAAGAAAGTGAAATATTTTTAGCCATGATTCCATTTTGTTAGGTGGAGGGATTAGTATAATTTTACATCAATTCTCTTACTTAAATATAGATTTGATGGTCTATAAAACTTTATACTTTAAAACTATAGTTTTATAGAGTCTAAAGTTATAGGACCTAAGACTTCATACTATAAAACATTAAACTCGTAGGGAAATTTTCTATGATTTTTTTAATTTTACATTTACAATTCCTGTTGGTGCTCTGTTTTATTCTTTTTACTGAACAAGCTAGAAAACTGATGCTGGAAGGTACTGGCACTTTAAACACATTGGTTTCAGCAGTTCCTCCAAAATTAGAATCTTGCATGGTCACCAACTAGTTGATCCTAACATGGTCCCCAATATTGGACTAAAATTTCTTTACCTTTTGGAGCCAGAGTCTCTTATGGCACTAGTAACATCTACATTTCATCCCGTAATCATGTGATCACATTGCAGATTTTATGCCAATTTTCCCTCAAAGTGGGGTGTGACCATTATGTGAAGATTTTGGGGGAAAAAAACACAAACCTGCTGATATTTCTGAAAAACAGGTGAGGTGGTCATGTGGTGACTGTGGTTGGTTTCTGTGGCTCTGGTAAAAACTCATGAGTATGTAGCGTACTTACTGACCGAAAGAAAGTATAAATAAAAGCTCATCTTTTATTCCTGCCAAACTACACATATATTTTTATGTTTCAGCATAGGAAAATCTAAGTGACAATGCATGCCTTGGTGTATGTAGATGTTGCGTATGTCCCTGTCTTCTCTCTCTCTCTCTCTCTATATATATATATATATCTGTCTCTCTCTGCCTCTCTCTCTCTCTCCTCTCTCTCTCTGCCTCTCTCTCTCTCTCAATTTCATCTCTCAATCCATTCCACACTAAAACTTGAGTATTCATACCCAGGTTTAATTGTGGTTTATTTAAGAAAATAATCAGGTTGGCTTGGGTCCTGCTTGCAGCATTATGCTGGAATCATTGTCAGACCTCATAGTCCAAACCTCAGAAATGGAAAATTGTGCCTTATCTGCTTGTTGGTCTTCTCTACTACTCCAATAGGTGCTGATCTTTTATTTCAGACTTTATAGGTTTGATATGACATTTCTGTACAGGGAGAAAAAATCTATAGTATTTTTTTTCTCCAGGACCAACAATTGATAACAGAGTGACAAAGGAAACCTTCTTTGTATTCATCAGAATTGTAAATATTCTGTTATGATAAAATTAGTCTTTTTTAAGGTTTGAATCTATATGAAACCAAAAGTCAGTAATTGGTTTTCTTTTTAAAGTGATCTTGACACCTATAAGCTATATTCATAATTTTACATAGGCTGCTGGGGATGTGTTAAAGGTTTAGAGGAAGACTATTTATTTTCATATGCACTTCTTATGTTAAGAGAATGCAAATCATTTTGTACTTAGAGACAGATGCTCAGAGAGATAAAAAAAAAATTAAGACACTGCATAAAGATGTGACATTTTAAAAAGTTTTTTCTCTTCCTCTAGTTTCTGTGTAGAAATGGTAAATACCATTTAAGAATGTACTTAGAATAGTGACAATTTAGATAAAAAGGACTGACATTAATTACAAAAAAAAAAATCTTTTTCACAAACTGTGACATCTGATCTCTCTACACAAGACCGAAGGCTCTTCTAAATAATAAAAGGTGTTGGAAAATAGGTGAAAGGTATTTGAACCTCAACTCTTGTAAGTCTGGTGACTTGAAGTATTGCCCTTCTGTAAAATAAGAAATAGTATTTATAGCTCAAGAAATTCTGGTTATATCATCATATATGTGTATAAACTTAAAAAAAATTTATTTATGAGTTTTTCCAAAGTACTTCCAGAAATTGTATAACAAAGCAACTGTTACCAAAGAGATCATATTTTTGAGTCTTTAAAATGATTTTGTTCAAACCATAGCACTGTAGCACTATCCTCCCATTGTTCATCGATTTGCTCAAGCGGGCACCAGTAATGTCTCCATTGTGAGACTTGTTACTGCTTTTGGCATATCGAATACACCATGGGAGCTTGCCAGGCTCTGCTGTGCAGGTGGGATACTCTCAGTAGCTTGCTGGACTCTCTGAGAGGGACAGAGGAATCGAACCCGGTTCGGCCACGTGCAAGACAAATGCCCTATCCGCTGTGCTGTCTCCAGCCCTATTCAAACCATAATGCCTAGAATGAGAGAGAGAGAGAGAGAGACGGAGACAGAGACAGAGACAGAGACAGAGACAGAGACAGAGAGAAGAGAGATGCCTGCCGTAGAGGCTGGCAAGGGTCTGGGATGGCTTGAAGGAGTAGGAGGGAAACTGGGGACACTGTTGCTGGGAAATTATGGTAGTGGAGGGATGGGTGTTGGAACATTGTATGACTGAAACCCAATCATGATCATATTTGAAATGCTCTATCTCACAGTGATTCAATTAAATAAATAATAGAATTATTTTACTTACTTTGAAGAAAAAAATAATTTCATAATTATGAAATTATGAGCTAGTGGTGGAATCTATGTTTATATTTATTTATCTGTGATACTTGATGCATAATTTTCCTTTTAATGTATTTTATCTTTAGGGCTAAAGTGAGGCTATTATATATGATGTGTTTTAATAAAAAGAAAAAAAGTGAAATCTACCAACTGATTAACCAGAATTATTTCCAAACAGTAGAAGCTAGTATACGCATCCTATCAAAAGAAAGGTTTTATTCTTATTAATGTACATCCTATTATCTCTTAGATGTTGCCCTTGCCAAGACTGATAATTATGGACACCAAGGAAAGAAGATTTTCCTAAATCCATCTGTTCGCCTTAAGGCAGAAAAGCTAGAAATGGTAAATTCTTTAAATTTTATTTTCTTTCCATATAACAAGGAAGTATTGTAATTGTTTAAAAGGATAAATTACTGAAATAATTAGTTTCTTCAAGTTATTTAATTTACAGTTGAATTAAATAATACCAACTTGTATTTGAATTATTTATTCTTATATCATTTTAGTAATTCTAAAATATACCAAACAATTCAAGTGGACAAAAATAGTCAGATGCATATTAATGTAAAGAAATAGCAGCAGACAGCAAAAATTGGTCCTGGAATTAGTAAAACAATAATAATTTTTATGGATAAGAGTAATTTTAAATGATTTCTAAGAAAAATTAAAAGTAAAAAATTATTAAAACGTTTTCCTATAAAGTTACCCAAAAGCTAACAGGAAGTTTGTGCTATGGTGTCATTGTATTTTTTCCTCTATGAATATTTTGGTGAATATCTACTATCTTGGTGAAGTTTGAATATGAATATATTGGTGAAGTTTCTACTCTTCTGTCAAATTCACCAAATGAATAATGATTTTTCACATTTTAGGAAGAATATGATAATTATGTATCATAAAATAAAATAAGATATGGCAGTTACTTCCCATATTTCACATGTCTTCTGGCAGTACACTTTTCATTAACAATTTGAACCTTCCTTATTGTTCAAATTCTGAATCTTTTCTAACTCCTTCAGTCAGACATTGCTGTTATAGTTCAGGCTAATTTTTCTTCTGTGGCAAACCTGTAGCACTCAACATCAATTTGTATTTCCCTACAATCTTTCAAATATCTTAACTCATAAATGAAATAAAGCTTCTCTATAACAATACCCAATATATACTATTTGCACCCAATAAAACTTTTAGTTAATTACAAAGTAACATATTTTTTAAAATCCTGGGAACATTTTTCTAACTTGCATACTCTTCTTATTTGTGGAAAAACTATGAACTAGTACATTTACAATGCCAATATTATTGACAAATTTCTAAAAGTGGAATGAGGTTTAAAAACTAATGTACTCATTTCTTAAATAAATAATTTTTGTTCTTTAATAATGCTTTAACATATTTTTTCAACATCCAAGATTCAAGGCCAACCATTCCTTAAATGAAAGAAAATGATATTCCTAATAATTTAACCTGAAAATATTTGTTCTTTGACTACTTTACATTCCCAGTATTTTTTAATCTGCTGAATTTTCTTAGAGATAAGAAATAATCTGAATTTGTGTTCATTCTGAAAAATATAAGTTGCATAATTGCGGGATCAAAATTTCAGTTTTGGGTCCTCTTTTTAACCTAAGAAAATTGATTTTTTTTTTATGTAGGAGTATTGATTGCTATTTATTCAGTCATTGATTAGGCTGATTGAATTGGGCCTGAACTCCACGAAAATTGAATTTTTTTAATATTTTATTTAAGCACCATGGTTTACAAAGATTTTAAGAATACAGTTTGGAGGGGCTTTTGATGTTCCAACATTGATTCTACCACCTGAATGACCTTCCCTCCACCATTGTCCCGTTTTCCTAACCACCCCATGAGCCTGCCCCTTTAGCAGGCACACAATAATTTGTTTTATATTGCTTGTTCAACTAAGTGGCAAAAGGGATTATCCAACTTATTATTTTTGTGGAAAAATAAAAACTGTTTTATACCAAAGGAAGCACTGGAGCGATAGCACAGCAGTAGGGCGTTTGCCTTACAAGCGGCCAACATAGCCGACCCGAGTTCGATTCCTCCACCCCTCTCGGAGAGCCCGGAAAGCTACCGAGAGTATCTCGCCCGCACGGCAGAGCCTGGCAAGCTACCCGTGACGTATTCGATATGCCAAACACAGTAACAACAAGTCTCATGGTGGAGACGTTACTGGGCCCACTCGAGTAAATCGATGAACAATGGCAGGACCGTGACCGTGACCAAAGGAAATCCTTGTTTTGTGGAAAAGCTGCTTTTTTGCTTTTATTCAAAATATAGTGACTTATTTCATTGAGCACTTTTTTTCCTTTCAGAGTTTGAAAGTATAATTCACTTAACAATTTTGTTTTCTAAAATCCAAATTAGTTTCTCTCCACCCACGTATTTCCTAAGCTATTCTTTTTTCTCAAAAATAATTATATATTAAGTACATATTTTATGTAATATTGTATCACTTCATTTTATCTACCTACTACTTCTATTTTAGTTGTTACTTGTACATTAGATTCACTTTCATTTATTATCTTAAAACATTAAGGTCAATTTGGTCAAATATGTTTTGGGGGGAAACATGTTTGGCCCAGACACCCTCCGATGCTCACGAGCTACTTCCAGCTCTGCTCAGTGGTCACTCTTGACATTGATCAAGTATTTACAATGAAATTAGAATCTATCTCTTTTGTTTTCTGTAAATATATCACACACAGCATGCAGAAAATTGGTGTCAAAAGATTTCAAAAGAAAAAAATTTGACTGCTTATAGGGTCGTTGAGTTTAATCAATAAAAATTGTAGGAAAGACATAGAAATTAAGGATTAAGAAAGAGGTTAAGATTCTTGTCTTTCACAGAGCTAACCCGAGTTCAATCCACAACACCGCATATGGTTCTTCAGCACCACAGGATGTGACCCCTGAACTTAGAGACAGGAATAAACCTTGAGCACAGTCGGGTGTGACCACCCTAATTCCCCTTACCCCCCAAAAACTGGGGAAGGGAATTACTGATAAAGTTGTATGTAGGTATGCTATTCATGAAATTCTCTTTCTAGTCTCTGTGGACAATTATATATACCAAGATACCATTTATATATACTTGATACCACATATATATATTCGGAGAGCCCGGCAAGCTACCGAGAGTATTCAATATGCCAGACACAGTAACAACAAAGTCTCCAATGGAGACGTTACTGGGCCCACTCGAGCAAATCGACGATCAACGGGAGGGCCTTTACCTTACCTTTACCTTACATATATATACTTGATACCACTGCTTGGTATCAAGAAGTGATTCCTAATACTGAACTTGTTATTGGTTAATTCCTTCCTTTCTGTAAAGTGGATTTCTTCTATCTGTGAATACTTTGAGAATTATTTTAATTACAGGTATTTTAAAGTGACTTCACCACACTTATTTACAGTAATACACATTTTTCAAAGCATTTTTAGGAGTACCATGTATCTCATATGATACCTACATTAAAATTATAAGTAGGCATGCAAACATAACAAATAGGGATATAGTTTGGCTTGAAGATGAAAGATTATTGTACCTCTACGCTCTCAGGATTTTTGTACCTGAGAAAATGCATTGGGATACAGATGCCGTTTCACTGATATTTACTTTACCTCTTGACATTTCTGTAACATTTGAAGAAGATTAGTGAGCAATGGCATGCCCCATGTCTGATTATAGTTGATGAGATGTTCTTTGTATTAGATTGGGAAGGATGTGACCAATGTTGTAAAGAAGTAACATTCTTTAAATTGATTAATCAAACATCAGAAAAAGTTAAGGGCATTTATTTGCTCAATTGGCAAATTTGTATTTTGTTTAAGGTTAAAAGATGGTATCAGTATTAAAGAAATTATTGGAAATTAGTTTTTTAATTAAAAAAACTGCTTTCATGAGCTTACCTCTTTAGCATGTGTATTCAGGTAGGGTAAATTTTACTTTCTACAATACTTTTACCTATACATATATAACTCTAGATCAATATGTACTGTGGTTAATTGTATTTGGATATTTTATAGTCACTTAATAAGAATTCCCATTTATTGGGGCTGGAGAGATTGCGAGTAGGGCGTTTACCTTGCATGCGGCCAACCTGGGTTCAATTCCCAGCATCCCATATGGTTCCCTGAGCACTGTCAAGAGTAACTCCTGAGTGGAGAGCCAGGAGTAACCCCTGTGCATCGCCAGGTTTGACCCAAAAAAGAAAAAAAAAATTCCCATTTATTGAGTACCAACCACTGTGATAGGTATTTTATGTCTTTTGTAAATTTTTATATGAAAATATTCATATACAAGAAAGATTGTGCAGTTTAGAATAATGAAACCAACAAACATATACCTGCTTAGAATGTGTGTACCCAGAATGGGAAACTTTTTTGACTTTGTTATGTTCCTTCTTACTCATATGCTCCTATATCTCTCCACAGGATATAAATATGCTCTTAATTTTGAGTTTATCATGTAGGGTGTTTGCCTTGCACACAGCTGACCTGGCCTACCATGGTTCTATTCCACCACCCATCTCGGAGAGCCTGGCAAGCTACCGAGAGTATCTCGCCCGCACGGCAAAGTCTGGCAAGTTACCCGTGCTGTATTTGACATGCCAAACACAGTAACGAGTCTCACAATGGAGACGTTACTGGCCCCACTCGAGCAAATCGATGAACAACAGGAGGACAGTGCATTTATATGATTTTAAAAATCGATTTACAAAAATAATGCAAAAATATGCTTTAATACATACATATTTTTGCATTAATAATTTTGGTATATATTAAATTTTATATTAATAAAATAAAGCCTTTGAGATTATTCAATGAAATATATGATAGTTGTTACCTCTAGGAGATGTTCAGAAGTAGATTTGATGACTTTCTTACTTTCAAAGTCTGGATTAAGTATATTTATTTATTTTAAGTTCTCATATACTAGTTAATAATTTGAAAAAGAACACAAAGAGTAATGTGTACAGACTAGAAAGTCCTAGTATACTGTTAAAGTATAAAACTGTATATCACATTTTTTCAAAAATACATAATTTATATATTTTATTTTATTTTTATTATTTTGTTATTGTTTGGGGCCTGGTGCTACTCAGCTTACTCCTGGCATGTGTGCTCAGGGATCACCCCTGGCAGTGTTGGGTGCTAGAGATCAAACTGAGGTAAGCCGTATGCAAGGCTAGTTAGCACTTTAATCCTTGTGCTGTTTTTCTGGCTTTAATTTATATATTTTTAACAGCAATTTAGTCATAGGAAAAAATCTAGAAAGTGTACTATTCAACTGCTAGTAGCATTTGTTCCATGACAGTGATTCTCAAGAATGGGGATAGTTTTGCTTTACAGGACACTGACAGGATCTGGAAACATTTTTGGTTCTCACAATTGGAAGAATGCCAGCAAATTAGAAATTACAAAAGACAACTCTTAAAACTCCATATATAAAAAAGTTAAGTGGATTATTAAATACTTTGAATCAAAACATTGCTAGTAAGCATGTAAACCTTTTTGCTGTCTTAGGGAAAATAAACTGTTCATCTATTTAATTCTTTTTTTGTTTTAATTATTATTATTGAATCACCATGAGAACAGTTACAAAGCTTTCAGGTTTAAGTCTCAGTCATACAATGATCAAACACCCATCCCTTCATGAGTAAACATTTTCCAACACCAAGAACCCTAGTATACTCCCCATCCCACACCTCTCCCTGCCAGTGTGGCAGATGATTTACACTTTACCCTGTCTCTACTCTCTCAGAAAATATTTGGAATTTTCCCCCAACATTCAGACCTGCCGAGAAGGCATCATTAGATAATTTGTTTTCTATTGCTGATAATGAAGAGCATATTGGATTTCTGATATTTTAGTAATTAATTCCGGGGAGATTTCTGCCAGAAGCTGCTGGGTTCCAAGATTGGTTTGTGTGCTTCTGAGATCATGGCCATTCAGGAGCCAAAGGAGCCATTTGTGGGTGGCAAGTCGGGGTCTCATGAGGCAGGGAGAAGGACGGGTTCCAGCCCCCATCCCGTGAGGCCCCGTGTGTCTGGTCACTGCAGGCGCGTAACTCTCAGTCCAATAGGCTCTGAACGATGGCGGTCACCATGCTGCTTAGGTGAAGAAGGTGGAAGGGACAGTGCCCTTTCCCCCCCTGAGTGGCATAGGGCCATAGCTTAATTCACAGTCCAGAAGCATTTCTGCCAGATGCCGCTGGGTTCTGGGATTGGTTTGTTCTGGGATCATGCCATTCAGAAGCCAGAGAAGTCGTTTGTTGGCAGCATTTTGGAGCCTCGTCGGGGTGAGGAGAAGGGCCGGTTCCAGCCTCCATCCTGTGTGGCCCCGAGTGTCTCATCACTGCAGGCACGTACCTCTCAGTCCAATAGGCTCTGAAAAATGGCAGTCACCATGCCACTGGGGGGAAGAAGGCAGACATCTATTTAATTCTTGATGTGTTTGGCACTGTAAGTTCTTGTTAGAATTCAGTGAAAGTGCCAGTGGGTCATGCCCTATATTAAGATTAGGTTTTGGTATATATAACTAGAAAACCTAAATAATAGTGGCTTTTTATTTTTTTATTATTTTTTAATAGTGGCTTTTTGTGTGTGTGTTTCCATTTGAAATGTTTTATTTTTTTTTTAATTTTTATTAGTGAGACACCATAAGGTACAGTTGTAGACTTACAAGTTTTTGTGCTTGGGTTTCAATTATACAAGGAAGCCTGAAAGAATACAGTGTTAGGCATCCACTCTGCATCTGATGTTTCTGCTTGCCAAGGTACTTCATGAACCAAGATGACAACATGAATTCTCTTGTTTCTTGTCTGTCTTCTGTTTCTCTTTCCCTTTTCTCTCATCCATCTTTTTTTAAATTTAAAATTTTTTAAATTTCCAAAGAGAGAAGGTAAATGGGTGAGAACATACACCTGCTTTTATAGTTTTCCGTTGCATTTCTGCCTTCTTGTGGTTAAATACTCACATGAACCATCGGGCTGCAAAAGTGACTGGGAAATATCTTTCATCTGGATGGTGAAAATCCACTCTGCTAAAAGTGTGGTTCTGTCATTTTAAAAAAGCAAAAAATAATCCTTAGAATAACAACTAGTCTTCTCAAAACTTTCCATCAACATTGCCTAAAAGAAGAAAGTAGAAAGAAGTAGATTTCAAAGAAATCTAATTTTTAATTTATTATTATTATTTTTTAATTTATTATTTGCTAAAACCTGCGTTAGTCCAAGTACTAGCCTAAGTCAAGAAAGAGTGACTGAGATGGGGTTTAAAATCAGGAAGCTAATCTTTGTAGAAAATTAGTTCATGGTCAGCCAACTTTACATGGACACCTAATTTTGGCTACTGATATTCTTTTCATTGAGTTATAAAAGAAAGTTAAAAGAATTTTTATTCATTGGAGAATTAAAAACTCATGAGTCCCTTTTCTTCCAGGCTCTTAATTATCTTGGTATACAGCCCACAAAAGAACAACACCAAGCCCTGAAACAGCAAGTCCAAGTAGATGCAAAAGGGACAGTATCTTTTGGAGGTAATATCAGGTTCATCTTATTATCTCGTCACAGATGCTTGGTTGAAGAACTATTCTGACTCTGACCCATTTTCATTAAGAGTGCCTCTTTAGAGAGGGAGAAGGGATAAAGACTACAAACATCAATTGCAAGTCCCTTAATCAGTACTCTGAAAATAGCTACTGAGCTGGCTGGTAGCAGAGTATTTTGTTAGAATTTTTCAGATCTAACATAGCATTCTGCTATAGTGTTTTAAATTTTTTCTTTATTACATGAATATTGCTTTAGTAATCACAAAGACTAGCAAATGCAGAATAATTTCACATTATGATGCTTTGTAATAACAAAGACTAGAATGTACAGAATAATTTCACTATTATAAAGTTATTCTGTATATTTTATTCAAAAATTATATTTTAAAAATATAAAATATTTCTCTACGAATCTTTATTCCGTTAATATGATATAATAATTTTATGATACTACATATTTATCACTACTAAACATAATGTAGTATTATTTATGGGAGAGACTATAACATTAAACTTTTCTATTTGGTGGCTTCTCTGTAGGTGATGTTATAAATAATTTTATATTTAACATAATAGCTTCTTTTCATTATTTTTAAAATAAATTCCATTTTATATTATTCTCATACTTTGGGTTTTTGAATATAGAAAGGTGTGTCATAATATTGTCTTATATTCAGAAAAGGTTGTTCTTATAGAAAAGTTTGAGAAACAGATATACCTGCGATTTATATTTAGTTTATCATTACTTTTATTAACTGAATCAGAAAGCTAACTGATAACCCCAGTTTTCTTATTTGAACTTCTCCTAAGCTAATTTATTTAAGTAAGTCATAGTTGAGGCAATTTCATATAGAAAAAAAGCAAAAATGAGATTTGTACATTGAGATAAGATTAAGTACTATGTTCTTACTAAAGTGTGTTCCATTCCAGATTTTGTCCAGGTTGCCAAAAACTTATTTTGCTTGCAGTTGGATGAAGTAAATGTTGATATACATGGCATTTCTGGCATATTAGATTCACAGGTATGGAATGAATATAGATTATATTTAAATCATGTCTTAAATGTTATGTGATATATGTAGGATTTAGAATTTTCAAGTGTGCACATTATATGTGCTCCTTGGATAAACATGTAAAACACAGGTTAGTTTAAAATCAGTGTATATAGAGCTGGAACTATAGTACTGTGGGTAAGGTGCGTACCTTCCACACAGCTGAGGTTTTATCCCACACAAACCATATGGTCCCCTAAGCCCACCTGGAGTGATTTCTGACCACAGAGTCAGGAGTAATCCCAGAGCACCAATAGATGTGGTTCCAAAACAAAACAAAACAAAACAAAAAAATCAGCATGTGAGATCCTATGTTTGATCCCTGGCATTCAAAAAAGTAATAATAGTGATAAACAAAATTCACCTTGCTCTCATCCCTCTTCCTTTCACTATCCCCTAATGCTGCTTTCATTCATAACTTACCACGAGAAAAGTACCATGTCCTAAATATATAACCCCTGAAATTTCACAATCTGGATCATCTAAATTTCGTTTTTTCTTTTTGGGTCACACCAGGCGATGCTCATGGGTTACTCCTGGCTCTACACTCAGGAATTATCCTGGTGGTGCTCGGGGGACCATATGGGATGGCTGGGATCAAACCCAAGTTGGCCACATGCAAGTCAAACGCCCTATCCCTGTACTACCACTCCAGCCCACAATCTGGACTGTTTTGTGTAATTCCCATCTATAAGAAACATTAAAGAAGCAAATTAACTGAAGCCCAATGTTCCCCTAACCCTGTGTTTATTTCTAATGTTCTCCACCCTCCCCCTTTCAAGATAATCATTCACTTGCCTCCTAATAGAGCTTAATTTTGCATGTCTTTATATTTTGTGTAAAATAGAATTGTGAGCTCTTTTAACATTTTAAGTCCATAACTTTTCTTATTTAACTTGTCAAATCTTTCCGTCCTTTTCACTATATTTTGTATTATTAAAGGAGGACATTCCCCAATTTGTATTATGTATAATTGGTATATTTGATGCATTTAAGACTTACTCTATGTATGAGGTAGTGCACCAAATGGATAATAATTTGTTTGTCTTCCACTAGCACTGATCTAATAATGATCCTTCATCTTTACCTCTACTTTGGAACATGAACTTCATGATGTACTGGATTTTTTAAATTAATATTTTGAGTCACAATGAATTACAAAGTTAATCATGACTGAGTTCCAAAGGTACAGAGTTCAAGCAGAAATCCCTTCACCCGTGTCCACTTCCCACCACTAGTACCCCCACTTTCCCTTCTGCTGTCCCCCAGCCTGTCTTGTCCTTTTTTCCTTTTTCTTGTTTTCCTTTTAGGCACTGTGTGTTTTACAACATTATTACTGATAGAGTATCATGCATGTCACTTTACCTCCTTTGGGAACCCAGACTTTGTCCAGAATGACCACCTCCCCCTATCATTGTCATGGTGGTCCCTTCCTTGACGTGCCCCCCCACCGCAATAGTGGCAGTCTTCCTACTAAGGTCCCAGTCCCCTGCCCTTTGTTTCTATTTTCTTTGAGTGTTAGTTATTCCCCTACTGTGTTTCTGTATATCCTGCAAGTGAGTGAGATCATTCTATTTCTGTCCCTTTCTCTCTATTTCTCTCAGCATGGTGTTCACCTGAATTTCTAGTTGCACAAACCTATATCTAGGTCTGCCATTCTGTTCTACTGATCAGTTTGTCTTTGCCCAGTACATTATTACTTTAATTACTTTAGTTTTACAGTTCCAAATTATAACCTGACTATATTTAACCTGACTATATTTAACCTATTATAACCTGACTATAGTTAAGCACATAATTTTTTTCACATCTAGATTTTGATCTTCTAGATGATCTTCTAGATTATCTTCTATAATAAAAAATCAACTGGGATTTTTACATTGACAGTTGTTAAGTTTTTGGATGACTTTATCACTAAAATGTTTCTTACCTTATTAGAATTGACTTCAAACTGTACTGTAAAGTGGTAGTAATTAAAACAGCATGGTATTGGAATAAAGACAGGTTCACAGACCAATGGAATAGGGTTGAATATGCTGAGACACACCTGATGTTATATGATCATTTAATCTTTGATAAAGGAGCAAGACATATGAAGTGAAGCAAGGAAAACCTCTTTAACAAGTAGTACAGGGAAAACTGACAGCTACACTCAAAAAATGGAGTTATTTTGGTAGAGGCTGTAGGATTCTCTAACTATAATATCATGTCATCTGCAAATAGTGAGAGCTTGACTTCCTCCTTTGGTATCTGGATGCCTTTAATATCTTTTTCTTCCCTAATTGTTTTGGCAAGTAGTTCCAGTATTATATTGAATACTGAAAGTGGTGAGAGTGGGCAACGTTATCTTATCCCTGATCTTAGGGAAAAGGCTTTTAGATTTTTCCCAATGAGAATAATACTTGTCTTGGGCTTGTGTATTCTGTAGGCAGCTTTCAGAGGTGAGATACTCAGAGGTACAACACCCTCCTGGGAAGCTGTGGATGGAGATGTGGAGCGTAACTTGCTCAGGATTCACAAATCTACTGGGCCAGAAGTCCTGAGATCATAGGCAGAGTTCCTACAAGTTCATGTGACCAGGGGCTGGGCAGAGCAGGGCACAAGGCACCCGGGAAACCAGCAGTGGTATTCTTTGAGTCAATTGGTGTTGTATATTCTTTTTGGATTTAGACAATAAAAGTAAAAGTAAAGGCCCTCCCATTGATCATCGATTTGCTCGAGCGGGCCCAGTAACGTCTCCATTGGAGACTTTGTTGTTACTGTGTCTGGCATATCGAATACTCTCGGTAGCTTGCCGGGCTCTCCAAGAGGGGCGGAGGAATCGAACTCGGGCCAGCCATGTTGGCTGCGTGCAAGGCAGACGCCCTACCCTCTGGAATGATCATTATGTCATTAAATGCAGTATCTTTGCATCCCAGAAATGTCCTGGGTTTTTTTTTTCTTTTTACTTTTTGGGTCACACACAGTGATGCACAGGGGTTACTCCTGGCTCTGTACTCAGGAATTACTCCTGGAAGTGCTCAGGGGACCATATGGGATGCTAGGAATTGAACTCGAGTCGAGTGTGTGCAAGGCAAATGCCCTACCTGCTATACTATCTCTCCAGCCCCTATGTCTTTTGTTTTGCCTATTTTCTTTTCATAGACTCTAACCACCACCCCCTGAAAATCACTAATCCCTTTATTGTTACAATAGTTTTGCCCTTTACAGAATATGGTGGAATCATACAGTAAATAGTCCAGATTAATTTCTTTCACTTAATAATGTGTCTAATCTTCTTCTATGCCTTTTCATTATTTAATAACTCATTTTCTTTTAGCACTAAATAGGATTTCATTGTCTGGATATACTGTGATTTTTTTTTCTAAAGAAAATGTAGTTACTTACTTCTCAGTTCAGGCAAGTAAAGATGCTATGAACATTTTTTTTTAGCAGAGTTTTTCATGAAGATAAAGTTGTCACCTCCTTTGGTTAGTATTAAAAGGTACAATGGCAGAGTATTTTGTCCAGGCGTGCAAACTTTTCTCAATAACTGCAAAGAAATTCTCATGCTCCAAATTAGTAATTTAGATTTTTCTTACTACTATGATTATAGGGTAGATATAAATGTATTCATTCTGTGGTATTTTGACAGCAGAAGCAAAATACTAATGGCAATTGTGCAAGATCTTCTACATTTCAATAATTTTTCTTCGTGGTTTCAGATCAAAATGTGCAATAATCATTACAGCAATGTACAATGTTTCTTTTGTTGCTTTTGACTTATCAACAAACAGAAGGAAGACTCATTCATATAAAGTGTCTTTTTTTTCCCTGTGTAAATTTTACTTCACCCCACTTACATTGGTAGCTGAAGCAAAAGTCTCAGACCATCACTTGCCTTTTCTATGTCACTGCATTCTTATTAAATGTTTAACTCTAGGGACTGGAGCAATAGCACAGCAGGTAAGGCGTTTGCCATGCACGTGTCCAACCCAGGTTTGATTCCCAGCATCCCATATGGTCCCTTGAGCACTGCCAGGAGTAATTCCTGAATGCATGAGCCAGGAGTAACCCCTGTGCATCGCATCACAGGGTGTGACCCAAAAAGCAAAAAAATAATAATAATAATAAATTTAACTCTTTAAATATTAAATATTTTCGCTTAGAATTTACTAACGTATCACAAGGTTGAAAAATGCTACAAAAATCATTTCCTGTTGGAGCAAAGCAATAAAATATCAGATAGGGCACATTCTTAAAATGCCTAACCCAGATTTCATTCTGGCACTATATGGACCCCAGAGCATCATTGGATGCAGTCCTGGAGGTTCTAAAGCACCACTGGTGTGGCACTGAAGACCCCAGCATCGCTGGCATAGCCTCCATAGCCTGATGTTACCCATCCAGCATCATTCCTCAGGCCCTTGTGTTGAACCACCCGCCCAGTTGTCCAAGAACCTCTGGTTGGCCTTTGGGCCACCTCAACACTGCTTGGGATCCCCCATGACAAAAACAAAATGAAAAACATAGCCTCTCAAGAAGCCCAACAAAAATTAAAAAATTCCTAATTTTGGTATATAATCCCAATATTTTTTTGAGTTAAAAAAACATTGTAGTGCTTCATCTGAAATAATATCTATTGATCTGCGGTTGAGGATGCTGACAGTCTGAGGAGGTAGGGGAATTCCACTGTGGTTACCCCTCAACTAGCTCATGGTGACAAACAATGAGGTCAGGTTTATAATTTTTCTGTTAGAGGGATGCTTAATTTTCCTTTCTCGATTATTAAAGATGACTTGTATTTTCCTTAATTAAAAATTAAAAACCCAGACTTTTATCCTGAAATAGAAAGGACACACAAAGTAAAGTACAAAAGCCCTTAAATAATGATTTCTATTTCCTGTATAAGTATCTCTCGTACGGTCACTATTCAGCAGACTCTGTCCAGGTGCTCACTTCCTGGGCAGCCATCACTCCCACTTTCATAT